AATTTTCGTTAAAAATATTGTTTTTTTTTGGTTAAAAAGAAGGGCAGATAATCATTTTCAATCATTTTTTCGATTTGATAAAAGATTAAAATCTTACTTTGATATTTCTTTTAAAATCAATTATCATTTTTTCAAAACTGATTTTAATAAAAACAGATATTATACTGTTTATTTAAAATATTTTGAACCAAGCTTAACTTAGCTTCTGCGCCGAAAAAATGTAATTTGAAAATAAAAAACAAAGCAGGTCATAACCTTTCGCGTCGCTTGACGATTGACGAAGGTACATTCATGACGTTTAGATAACTTACGGAGGAGAATTTTTCTACGGATGGAAGGAAGTGAAATTATTTAAGTGAACAAATTATTTACCTTGTTACTTTTAAGGAAAACTTTCAGCGCTCTAATTTTTTTATTTTTATTTTTTATTTTTTTTTTTTTTGTACTTAGCTTTCATTTTTACGTTTACGATGCTTTTTATGGAAAATATAAAGAAATTAAAAATAAGACTGTTAATAGTGAGATTAAATTTCATAAGAAAAAGGTATCTAATTAATTTAGGTACCTTTCTTATGAAATTTTATCAAAGTGTACATAAAATACTATAATTTTATGTACATTTATTACATTTTACTGTTTTATTTGTATTTCCATTCATTTTATTATTAATTTTGATATTTCATTTATGGAAAAATGTCATAACTGAGATTAATATAAAAATAAGATCATATGAATTGAAGTTTAGCAGTAGTTAAATTTCATAAGATGATACTGTTACTTGTAGGTACCCTTCTCAGTTGAAATTGAAAACTCAAATTAACTTCTCCATACGTGTTTCGCAAAAGTAAAGGGTTTAACAGCGGAGAACAATGCTGAACTCAAATAATGCAACTAAATTGTATTCTGGTTGGTCTTCCGTACTTGATAATTACTGTCCGACTATAAACACAAAAATTACATTTCTTAATTACCATGGCTAATCTGATTGGTCCAAATTATACAATTTTCAAAGCACTAGACAATGACAATCTCACAAGGACATTTTGAAAGGTTGATGTTGCTTTTAACTAATGTTAAAATATTTTTAAAAATTCAATTTAAACATTTTTTAAAAATCTTTTAAAATTAAAGAAATAAGAAATAATTGTATTAAAAATTCAATTTTCATTGAAAAAATTTTTTGCTTTCAGAAAATATTGTCCATATTCATAAAAACAAATTAAAACAAATAAAAGCATTTGAAACGAAATAATATATTTGTTTTATTGAGTTTTGTATGTTACAATTCACAGCTGATTTTCAGGTACGTTGGCCAAAAAAAACAAAAAACAAAAAAAAAAAAACATGATTTTCATTCTTCAAAGCCTTGTGCTTTTAACTATTGTAATCACTAAAACCGATTTTCATAAAATTAGTTATGGGGGTGTTAATAAATATAAAAAAAAAATATTTCTGCCATGACTTTAATAAAAAAAAAACAAATATTTATAATAATTTCGATCATCTGTGAATAATTTCTGAAAGTTTCATTAACATCTGACAATTATTTTTATTTTTGCAAGATTTTCCAAATTAATGTGTGTAAATAGAAAAAAATGCGCTAAAAATTATCTATGTTATTTACTACCCCTTGTTGCGACAAAGTGAAACAAGGTTTTTTAAATCAAAATTTAAAAAGATGGAAAAATTTTAAAAAAATAATTAAAAAAAAATTTAGTCTATCCTCTTTATAAAAAAATAAATATTTTGACGATAAAATTTTGTTTTCATAAACTTTGGCGTCTTTTTCATCAGACTATGCTCTATATTTTAGCGATTCCGTGGAGGACTTAGGTTAAAAAACCCAGGTTGTGTGTGTGTGTGTGTGTGTGTGTGTGTGTGTGTGTGTGTGTTCCTTTATATATTGGATCGATTTCTTACATTTTTCAGCCGATAAAACAAACATCCACTTTTTTTTTTTTATCAGGTAATATTTCTTATTGTCTTGCACACTTTTTCTTTTATTTACAATCAGAATGCTTTTAAAAATTCCATTTATAAGACAATTGTTTATAATAAAATTTATTCACCAATCGATAGACTCATAACGATTGTAAACAATGTTTTTGTTTGAATTTGGTTTGACCAATTCAAAAAAAAAAAAAGATAAAAAAACTAATTAAGACATGCGTTTCCGTCAACCTTAAACAATAATCTTTGTCAATTTTATTTTTCAGTCTTTATGATGGTCGATACTTGATCTATCTCTTACTGTTACATCCCCGGGCAACGCCGGGCTCTACTGCTAGTCATTCATATACAGCCATGACAGTGTCAAGAGAATGCCCGTAATTCTGACATAATTTTTTTTTTTTTTTTTTAAATTTTTATTGTTTTTGGTGGAAGTAAAAGAGTGATCTCTCCTCCTAAGGGCTTTCGGTCACTTCTTTATTCCTTTACTCCCACGAAACAGAAAAAATTTAAGAGCCCTGAAAAACGATAAAGAGTTAATTAAATTTTCCTAGTCTGTCATATTTAACGAAAGATGTTTAAAAAAGTTGCTGCCCAAAGATACACTAACCTTATATATATATATATATATATATATATATATATATATATATATATATATATATATATATATATATTTATGGTCAGTGGAATCAGACCAGGAAACAGTAGTTAAAAAGTGCTCAATACATGTGTGAAAAAAAGAAAAGAAAGTACATTTACGGAAAATTCGACTGTTATTTTTACAATTCGTTTGCTTCCCCCCCCAGACTCCTTTTTAAATTTACGTTAACTTGCTTTTCGTTTCTACTTAAGTACATACATACATACATACATACATATACATACATACATATATATATATATATATATATATATATATATATATATATTAATTTAGTACTTCTATTTGTATATATATAAATATTAATTTATATATGTATATAAATATATATATATGTGTGTGTGTGCATGTGCGCGTGTGTATGTGTGTATGGTGATTCATATGTTTGTGTGGCGGCTTGTGTATATTTACACAGTGTCATGTGCTCATATGTACGCATGTGCATTATGTATGTACAAGCATTTTGCTCTCAGTTTTTCCTTTATTTTATTGAGCCCTTTTTGTTAACAACAGATTTCAATTTTTTATAAATATTTTCGTTCTTTCACTTTTTCTTTTCATTTTATTATTATATATTCGATTCCTCTTACTTTTTCCACTTTCTCTTTCTTACTTTTCATCACATCATATTCTAAACAGATTCTCGTCTTTCCACACTCGACCACGTGGTTTCCAAATTTTTCTGACTCCCTCACGACACACTATTAACAATCTGACTCCCTCAAGACACACTATTAACAATCTCACTCCCTCACGACACACTATTAACAATCTGACGCCCTCAAGACACACTATTAACGATCTGACTCCCTCAAGACACACTATTAACGATCTGACTCCCTCACGACACACTATTAACAATCTGACTCCCTTAAGATACACTATTAATAATATAAATATAAATATTTATATAAATATATATATATAAATATACATATATATAAATATATATATATAAATATATATATAAATATAAATATATATATATAAAAATAAATATATATATAAATATATATATACATAAATGCATATATATATAAACACACACACACACACACACACACACACACACACACACACACACACATATATATATATATATATATATATATATATATATATATATATATAGATAGATAGATAGATAGATAGATAGATAGATATCCAAGTAAAGGATTGGTACACATGGAATAAAATTCCACTAGCCCAAAAACACTATTCTTAAAAGAGTGGTTAATACTGAGTGGAGTTAATAATAATTATTCAAATTTATAACATATGCAACACTGCTGGTGTCTTATCAAGTGATGATTTTGAATGGAAAATAAATGATTTTAAGAATTCAAAAGTCAACCAAACCGCTTCAGTAGGGGAAACTTTGTTACGTAATCTATGAGTACTAATCAGAATACAAGTATATGGTAACTAAAATAATATCTGAACATAATCTGGTATACTTACAAACTATTAGTGATTTAAAGTTAAGATTAAATTAAATTAGAAATCAGTATAAAAATTAAATTTAAGTTATCAGTTAAATTTAAAATTAAAAATTTAGATTTCAAATTCTAAGGTTAACCAATCATCAAGTTAAATATTTTTTTATGATTATTCAGAAATGAAACCAGGAGAAAAAATGTATTTATAAATGAATTATTGTTCGCAAAATGCCAATTTATCAGTGAAGTTAGACACTGATAAGAAAGTAGCACTGATCGCTTCACATATTTGATACAGGGAAGTCAGAACAAACATAATCACATAATAATACACAAACAAAAGGAGGGTAAATATATGAGTAAATACACGGAAGTATGTTCACAAATAAAATAGTGCAAGGAAAAATATATATAAAAAAAAAAATAAAATAAAATTTAAAAAAATAGGAAAAGAATAAAAATGAAGACAGACATATTTAAAAGCACGCAAAAAAAAAAAAAAAATCAGACGTGTATAAAGACATATACAAGAAATCACACACACATACAAGTATACGATGAATTACTCATCAAAATCCAAGCATAAACGCACTAATAGATCTACACACAAACCAACCAACAATATTTATACACACACAAAACATATATACATGTATAAAGGTGAGCAAATAAAAATAAGTGTACATGTGTATGTACAATGCATACATATACGTAGTTGAAGTACACATATCGGGTTATAAACAAAGCAACAGAAAAAAAAACATATGTACGTATATACATACACCTACGCATACATACATAAATACTAACAACTAATATGACGTGTACAAACGAACATTGCACATAAAACACCGACATATATAAATATACATATACAAACACATACACATACCTACAAATATATGAACACACACACACACACACACATCGGAATAATGCTCTGATACCACAGAATGGATAGATTGAATAAACACAATCTTATGCTCGTTTTCTTTTGGTGGGAGGACCTAGGAAGTTCTTCTGGGACCGATCGTTGACACACCTGAAGTAATGAGAATAATACTGCAAATATGCAGGAAAAGTCTTGGAGATGAGACTGGAACACGTCCCAAATAGATTTACGATTAAAATAAATACTTAAACTTAAGGGAATAAGTAAATGAACCAACCAGATAATAAAACAAGTAAAGAATCGCTCACTAACCTTCAAATAAGTTTAAAAACTGCAAGAAATTATCATTTTCTCTGCAGAAAGATGGTTGCTGCAATTTAAAACACATGGCCACCAGAACGAACAAATGGTGCTTGGACTTGCCTATATGCAAAATAAAGAACGAGTCCGTCGTGAAAACACGACGAGCACATCTCATTTTCCAATAGGAGCTGTCCCCGATTGCCGACGATCGGTCCCTGAAGAAGCATTGGCCGAATGCTTGCCTAGGTGAAAAAAAAAAAAATGAGCTTGAAATTGTGTTTATTCAAATCTCTCTCTCTACACGCACACATGCAGAAATATATGTACATATGCATATACACACATATAAACATATGTAGAAACAGCCACATATACTCACATATATTCATAGGTAATAATTTGGGATTCTGCGTCCATACAAAATTAATGCACAACCGAACGATCACAAATATTCAATATCAAACGCCGAATAATTAACTATGTTATAAATTAAATGGCTAGCAGATAAGATTAGGTTATAATTCTAGGGCTCTTCTGGAGAGGGATTTGGGAGCTAAGCTCCCTCCCTATTTTTTAGATAACTGAAAATCGGGATCCCCATAAAACCCGACCACAACAATAACAGGGCCGTACTTGCAAGAGTGTGTATGTGTATGTGTGTGTGAGGAGGGGGCCTACTAGGTTAGGCTTCGTTCCCCAATATTTTAAAAAAATATTAACTATTAGTGTCTAGATAAAACAATACCAGGGCCGTACTTTCTAGAGGTGTGTGTGTGTGGGGGGTATCAGGTGGCTACCCCCTTCAATATTTTTTAAACAAATATTTTAAAATAAGTGTTTAATTACCATTATCTATTTTTTTTTTCAATCAAATAAAATCGATTTATCTAAGTTGAAATTAAGTCCTTATATCTTTTTTTTAAAATTATGATTTTAATTAAAAAAATAGTAAATAAATTAAAATTTAAATAAATTATCTATTTTTAAAGAAGCAAAAACTATTATAGCCTCATTTCTTTGCAATTGTTCTTGAAGAATTTTATTCGTCCAACAAAAACTAAGAACGCAATTAAATTAAATTTTTTTTAATTTTGTTTAAAGAAGGTTAAAGCTAACCGAGAAGTGGCCATTTTTACAAAAAAAAATAAAATATAAAAATAAAATATAAAGGAAAGAAAACAAAGCAATATATCAAACAAAATTCAGGCAATAAAGCTAATAATCCAATCATAATGTTAGTTATTAATTATAGATGACGGTCCTGAAATCAAGTTTTAATCGACTATTATTTCATAGTTACCGAATTTCCTACCTTGTCAAAATTACCGAATTACCGTTACCGAATTTTCCGGGCACCAATATATATATATATATATATATATATATATATATATATATATATATATATGTTTAGTTGTGTAAGAAGTGAGTTTGGATCCTGGGTTTCACGCTTTTAGCGATCGTCAAAGTCAGAGTTTCTCTGAGGATCGCTAAAGCGTGAAACCCAGGGTCACAAACTACATCTATCCAACCAAATATGTTAGTTCTATCTCTGATATTGAGCGCTTAATAAGTACCCTATATATATATATAAATAATTATACATATATATATTTATTTATTTATATACACTTTTCATATATATATATATATATATATATATATATATATATATATATATATATATATATGTAAAAATATACGGATATAGATCCGACAGTATGAAGAAAAAATATAAAAAAACAAAAAAAATCCTTATATACAATTTATACTGTTTTAATGTTGTCATGTTGTATTGATAATGTTATAATTTATGAATATGTCCTGAAGTTGGTTTATTAGACCGAAACGTCCGACGTTGACATATTAACATTAAAACAGTATAAATTGTATATAAAGATTTTGTTTGTTTTTTCCGTATATGTTTTTCTTTCATATATATATATATATATATATATATATATATATATATATATATATATATATATATATATGAAGACATTAAATATAACTTTCAAAGAAAACCGGAAAACGCTTTTAAATAATTTCAATGCCTTTATTGAACTTAAATTTCGGTTTTATTTAAAGGTTTGAAAGCTTATCGGAATTAACAGAAAAAAATAATTTCCGTATATAAATAAACATTTTAAGCATTTTAAAACATTGACACGTTTTTTCGTTACTCGTCGACTTATCATACCACCAATGTATACAAAGTGTAAACAACAAATTTAATATTTTGTTTAAAATCCAAAATTTGTTCTAGAGATGTGTTTACCTTTTTACTTAATTTCCCTTAAGTTTTTTTTTTAAATCAATAAACTATTCACTCAGTAACAAATTTATAAGTTCAGAACATTTCGTTTAATTCGAATAATTCTGTGAGTTTATCAAAGAAAATCTAAGATAAATCTTAATAAAGTTAGAAAGTCATTTAAGCTATGAAAGTTTTAAACGAGTGTATGATCAAAACAACTTACCGCCATCAAACTTGTTAACTGCTTTTCTATTTTGTAGTCGCTTAGAGATTGATACATACATACATATATATATATATATATATGTATATATATGTACACTTCCGGTAAAATGAAAATGAAAGTGAAAATTTTTTAAATTGGATTTTTCAAGCGTGCTCACATTGCTTCCTGGTGTGACACAAGTTTGAAGTTTAAAGTGGATTTAATGGTAATAGCATGGGAAAAAAATTGTCCGAAACCCCCCCTCACATTTCCCCTTTGGGGACGACTCAAGTGTCGGGTAAAGGTCCCAATCCCACCCTGAATGAGAAGTACCGCCTGGTGGAGGCTGGCTTCCCGGGCTTCCTTTTTCCTTGATAGAGAAGAGAATTTCGAAGAGTACATATTTCTAAGAGAAAGATAAAGATATATACACACACACACACACACACACATATATATATATATATATATATATATATATATATATATATATAGTTGGAAATTTTTATATATATATATATATATAGTTGGAAATTTATATATATATATATATATATATATATATATATGTATATATATAGTTGGAAATTTATATATATATATATATATATTGGAAATTTTATATATATATATATATATATATATATATATTGTTGGAAATTTGTCCCAGCATTCCACACACATATATATATATATATAGTTGAAATATATATATATATATATATATATATATATAAGAAATTTTCATAGATAATATGAGTCCTCCGACAGGAATCGAACCTGTGTCCCTATACGGAATCCGTCATATAACCTGACGTGCTTTTTACCGATTGAGCCACAGACGATCGTTAGCAAGGTCGATTTTACTGTTTTTAAACTACGATTCTCCATGATTTTCTCTCATACATTCATTATCTGCTCGATGCGTATCCAAATGTAAACAAATGACGTCACACATTATGAATTGGACAAAGTCCGACAATTATTTTATGACATTTTTATGTTTACACGTTCTTTTTATATATTTAAAATGTCTTAAAAATAATGTGTGACGTCATTTGTTTACATTTGCATACGCATCGAGCAGATATGAAATGTATTGAGAGAAAAACAGTAAAATCGACCTTGCTAATCGAAACGCTCCTCTGTGGCTCAATCGGTACAAAGCACGTCAGGTTTATGACGGTTCCGTATGAGATACTAAATTTTGAGCATGCTGGAAAGGATTAAAATGCTTTTTTTTAAATAATTAAAAAATACTTTGGTCTTCCATCTTAATAATAGCATAAACATTTTTGTAATAAAAATTTGTTTTTATTAAGTTTGACGCCTTTTTCATCATGCAGTACTGTTTTTCGGCGAATTAGTGGAGCTACATAAACGCAATCATCAAGCCATATAAAACCATATTTCGTTATATATATATATATATATATATATATATATATATATATATATATATATAAAATTAATTGATTTAAAAATATGTTTTCCGTTACACAGTTCTAACCATGTTTCAAAAATGGAAGCTAAAAAGCCACGAATTTAATTTTGCAATTAAATTAAAGACATTAGTTCCATTCCATCCTCAAGCGAATTTTGGAGTAACTTTTAAAATTACTGGGTTTTAAAGACACAGCTAAAATAAACCCAGTAATTTTAAAAGATTAAATGCGAATCGAAATATGTTTTTTTTTTTTTTTTTTTAGAAATGTGTTATTGTTAACAGATAAAAACTTTTGGATTTACTAAAAACAAAATAATTTCCGTGCCTGAGGATGGCTGTATGTACAGCTGAAAGTACTAGCAGATTTAAAAAAATGACCTTATACAACTTGTACTTATTAAAACAAGGATCATAATATTCATCGAGTAATTCGTAGGTTAATGCAACTTTAAAAATTTTGTTTGCGAAGAAGGTTTTCGCCATTTTATATCATTAACTTTACTAATCTACTTTTTGTATGAATGATTCATGTAACATAAATTGAACTGCACCACATATTTGATATATATATATATATATATATATATATATATATATATATATATATATATATTTTCTAAGAATTTATAATGCTTTTTTAGAACTGTCCATCAGATTAGACAATGATTGTTTTTTATTTAATGTTTAAAAACCGGAACAAGCTTATTTTTTCTATTTGTTATGTTAGACAAGTAGACATCCTGCATTTATAAAATTCCCAAATAAAAGGGCTTCGTGACGGGCTAATGGCGTATGAATTCGCCTAATTCACCATTAGTACTGTGTAAGGATTTCTATTCTCACTGGTTGCCACATATTTGAGACCTTGCGTCCAGGAATTCCATCTTACAGGCATTCTCATGGTGCAAGTAAAGGATAGAAATGTAGGCCTATTTCAGAAATTTTGGATAGAAAACTTAGTTAAACAACAGTCTTAATAAATAACTTTTGTAGTATAAACACATTAGATTTATTTTTAATCAAATCACATCAACCAAGGCTGCTAATTCCACGAAGACGCAAGAGCCTGCGGGAAGTGAAAGAAAATGAAAAAAAAATTTAGAAGAAAGCGGAAATTCAAAAAATTATAACATTAACTTTATGTTTTAAATAATGTCATTTTAGAATAAATTTTTGTGAACTCAGTTCCTATCAGTATGCAGGCGGTTCTGGATTATTTTAATATCCTTCCCACACGTGCCAAGGTTACCTAGCCGTTCCAGCAGATCTTTGTGACGTAGGCTTAGGCGGGGCATGTTGATGCTAATTGTTTCTAACTGATGTTAAACTGCAAACCCGCTGATTGAGCTGAAACTTGGCAAACACACGCACCAGTATGTTGGGCTTTTGTTGAATGTACTTTGAAATGCATAGAATGCAGATTTTTCGTGTCAGATGTATCAACCTTTTCAATTCATGAAACGTATTAATGCCCAGTGTGGGACATGTTGATGTAGGACTAGAAAATTGATGCAAAGAATTAACAACGCAAAACGTTGCGTTAAATGCTGTTTTTAACCTTTATCCGTCTGTAAATGACTTCATTTGCTATGCAGAAAGTTTATCCTGCTACTGAAGGTGACTCTAATCTCGAGATTTACCTTAATCGCCACAGAGTCAGGTTGTGACGCAAGGTTGGTTTTTAACGTGGGGACCCGAGTATTTCCACTCGGGCCGCTGGACTAAGTTGGTCTTAGCTTGTCTAAGCTGGTCATAACCGATCATACAACCGCTGTGTAACAGATGTCACGCAACGGAGGTGGGGGTTGGGACAACGCAAAGGAGGAGAGAAAGCCTTTGATACGGAACAGATAGTATAACCGCAGCATCTACTCCGACGGGGGGGGGAGAAACCCCTTCTCCTCTCTATTCTAGAAGAATCCAGGAGATGGGGGTAGAGCCCCAGGTGACTCTGATCCCTGAATCTAAATGTGTTTGAATTTTATAGTTGTGTTGTCATATCCTGCTATGGCAACATAAATTACCTTTAAGTGAAAGTAACAATAACGGATAAAGGCGTTAGTTAAATCCAGTGACAGGACTCAAAGAGTGTGAGTTCAATACCCGGTTAAGGCAGTGGAGAACTTTCAGAGGGGAATTAACAGGAGATAACTGATAACTGACATCCATTAAAACATGGCACGTGGAACTAGAACAGTCTACCCCAGTGAGCGAAATAAAGGGTTCAGTTCGACATTCCAACCACCTGAAGAAGGCCGGAGCGTACAACGGCCGAAACTTTGTAATAAATATGGCGACAAAGATGAGGACAATAGTCCGAATAATGTAAATAGTGTTGTTTTGTCATATCCTGCTATGGCAACATAAAATACCTTTAAGTGAAATTAACAATTTTTTTTTGCAATTGAGAGGTACTGAAAAATAATTCAGTGGAATGAGAAGTAATATTAATAATGCAGAGGGCTAAAGGTTAATGTAGATAAGAGAATGCATAATAGAAGTAAAAGAATTATAGTAATAAACCCTGGAACGTACACTAATGAATACACCAATGTATAGGTACTAATCAGAATCTGCTCATTCGCAACGTTGCATCGCTGACAAGTGAAAACAAAGTTTCTCACACGCATGCGCTGGTGCCACTTACAAACGAATAGACGCTTCTGTTTTTCAAATATTCGTTGTGTCTGTTCCATCAATGTACACCGCTTTACCTTACTTTATTGAACGCTTTTGCGGAATCTATAAAATAGGTATGCAGAGTGTAGCGCAGTTGAGCGAAAGAGCAACAAAACACCTTGTAACACCAAAGATAAATAGAAGGAAAGGATTATGGCAGCATTCTCCAACATAAATAAGGATACCGTCCAGAAGAGATGCAGCAGATTCTGAAGACGTCTGGAAACCATCGTTGAAGGCAATGGCGATTTTATTGAGTAAATTTACTCTTTAGTATTTCAGGATATTGGTTTGATGCATAATTATTAGGCGTTTTAGTAGGCGAGTTATTTGTTAATAAAGATTTCTGTTTTGTTTACTTTTTTTTTAAATAAAAATATTTTACTTTCTTTCATAAAAATGCGTGTCGATAATCATACGCTCCGAAATAATCATTTAAAATGTTATTGTTGAATTGTTATATTTCTTTTTTCATAATAAATAGTATTTAAAAACGCCTGATAATTATGCACCAACCCAATACTTTTGTGTCATTTTGCTAAATATATCTGTTAAAATGAGATGGCTGTGTTATTTTCATTTTTGCGTAATTCAGATGAAAATTTTTCCATCGCACAGTGTATATTTTCCAGTATCATTATTACAGGAATCTTTCTTTTTCTTGTTAAAAAAAACGTTTCAATAATAAAATTTCAAACAATATACATCACTTTTTTTTATGTTGATATAGTTTATTAAGATTATAATAGATGGCCAGTCGTATTCGACGATACCCGTCTCTAGGGTGGAAAGCCAATCCCTATTGCAGACGCTTGTTCAGGCACATTTTGTGTTTATTCAACACCCACAGAGCCCACCTGTGGTTTATACTGCAACTATGCTGAGCAGACCTTAGTTA